ATTGGTTCCATGTGAATTGTTTTTACTTCATGACCAATCCCAGTCCAGCTGTGTTGGACTCTCTGGTCAGTCACGAGTTTTTATTATCATTTTTTCTAGCCTTCTGATGTCTCCTTTCTCTTTCTTTAGTATAGTTTTAGTATATAATTATAAGATAATACATATAACAAATATAATAAATATTATACAATACAATATAATAAATATAATATAAATATAAATACAATATAATAATATATATTATATTGTATAAATAAAATACATACACAAAATAAAATAAATGTACAATACAATATAATAAATATAATATAAAATAAAAATTATATTAATTAATTAATATAATTAATAAATTATATTATTGCACAATAAATGTAATAAATATAATACAATAACTATAATATGATATTATATGGTATATTGTATAATATAATATGGTACAGTAAATATAATATAATATAATATAATATAATATAATATAATATAATATAATATAATATAATATAATATAATAATCAGCCTTCTAAGAACTTGGAGTCAATTCTCATCTCTCACCTCATCCTGGGACCCACAACAACACCACAACAATTAATCACCACAAGCCTCATTCAGCAGAGAATGTGAGAGGGCAGAAGGAGGCAGAAAACACAGCAGGGAAGAGGCACAGAGGGTTTTGTGGGATTGGCACTGAGCAGAGGCAGAAGGGCTCTCCCCAACCCTGGAGCTGCTCCATTCCATGGGGAGTCAGTGTCACACATCCCAAGAGATGACAAAGGATGGGGAGAATCCTCCTCTGCCAGCCCCATCTCTGTCACACAGAGCAATGAGGCTCTCAGCTTCTCAGGAGAAAACCCTGGCAAAGGGATTTTTCAGGAAATATCCCAGTGAAGCCTCAGCACGCTGAGAGCCAAACCCTGACGGGACACCCATGGCTGGAAAGCTGAGATGGAACCAACGGATCCTGAACAGGGCATGGACAGGGAGCTTCCAGGGCAGAGCCATGAAAAGGCTGTGAGGGATGAGGGAACACAGAGGCAGCTCTGTGAGGGATGAGGGAAAAGCACACAGAATAGCTCGGGCTGGCTCCTGAGGGATGAGGGAAAAGCACACAGAGGAGCTCAGGCTGGCTGCTGACACCTGCTGTCCAACAACAGCCATGCTGAGGGCAGAGCTGGCACGGTGGCAGGGGTTTGGACTGGTGCTGTGACAACCACAGAGCAAGAACAGTTTTTCTAGGTGGGTCACACAGACCAGTACAAGGTGGACAGCACTCAGAGGCAGTTTGGAATAGCCACAGCAGCCCAGATGTGCGGATGCCCTGGGGATGGGTGGAGAAAGGAGCCGTAGGGCAGGAGCTGGGGAAGGGAAGTGCTCAGAGGTGCCCAAGGAGCAAACCCAGAAACAGAACCCAGCCAGGTGGCCAAGGGGACCAGGGCACTGAGCAAGGAGAGGCTCCAGGCTTTGGGGAGAGAAAGCGAGGGGCAGGAGCCAGTTTCACACCAAGCAGCCCAGCTGTGATGGGCACACCACCCACCTGGCCCCAGAGAGGCAGCAGCACCTGCATGGGCACACACAAATCACCCAGCAGAGCAGGGCTGTGGCAGCAGTGCCACACTGGGCAGCACCCAGCCCTGAGCTCTGGGAATGGCACTGCCAGGGCTGGCAGGGCTCTGGCACACCCAGCTGGAGCCTGTGGCACAGCAGCAGCACCCTGGGCAGCCCCTGCACAGACACACCTGTGCCCAAGAGGAGCAAGCCCTGCCCAGCAGAAACGGCTTTACCTGCATGCAGGGCTGCTGGATGGCTCCTCAGGCACTGCCTCAGGGGGACAGCACAGGTGGGACAGACCCAAGAGGATTTTATCCTTTTTAGACTGCCAGTTACTTCTGCAGTGACTGGAAAGGGTGAGACACCAGGGAGGTGTGCAGGAGGCAACAGACAAGCAGAGCCACACAGCCTAATTCTATTTATGGATGCAGAAATTCCATCTCTGGACTGAGCAATTCAATCTGTGCATCCTGCCCGAGGATCTGTGCCTGTGCATTGCTCCCAGGGGCAGGTTTTCCACCAGGAGCTGGGTGAGCTCCAAGGTAAAAGCCACAGTGAGGGTGTGCTGATGCACAGCAGCACCAGAGGAGCCCCTGCCCTCTCCCTGCTCCCCCAAACCCACTCTGCAGCAGCAGGAGCAATGCACAGCTACTCCCTGCAAGGCTCTGTGCCCTCAGCATCGAGGCATCCCAACCACAGGGACACAGAGCCAAAGCTCTTTGCTTCACAGATGCTTTTCCCTTCTCACACGGCATCCCCTCTTGGTCTCTTGCTGTGGCAATAACAGGGAGAGAGGATTTCCCTGTCCTTGGAAAGGGGACACCATCCTCTTCTGCATCTGGCTGAGGAAGATCCAGATGTTTATTAGCAACCCTAGACACCTCTGCTGTCACAGCTCATTGCAGAGTTACCTGCTCATCCTCACACCCTTCCCAGGCACCTGGCACTATTTGTCACTGCCCAGCCAGGCACAAGCCTCGGGACACTTCTCCCCTCTCCCTTTGGGGCTGGTTTTAAAAGTGGCTTAAGAAAAGTTAAAAGGGAGGGTGAAGAGGGGAGTGCACCTTCAGCTGTGCAGGGGCTCCCCTCTCCAGCACAGCTCCTCCAGCTCCCTGCTCTGAGCATCTCCCTCTAGCTCAGTAAGTGTTCACCTGGCCAGTGAGGTCGTATTTCCCTTGGTTCTCATCCAGCAGCCTTTCCTGCAAGAGGATTTTCAGGAGCTCCCGGGTCAGCAGTTCCATCATGTCCTCCAGCAGGGCTCGGAGAGAGGGACCGAACACCACGGGCACCGCAGGCTCCTCGGCAGCCTCCAGGTGCGGGGAGCCCGTCACGCTCTTCTTGCCCATGAAGTGACCTGCAACAGCACACACGGGGGCTCTGGGGGGACACGGGGCTGCAGCTGAGCTGGCACCAGCACAGGGAGCACCGAGCGAGCTAATGCCCAAAGCATTGAGTGACGGGAAACACAGAAACCCCCGGTGCTCACTAGCTCCACGTGGGATTTTTGGGAAACTTCACTCTCTGTTCCCGCTGACAGGATCTCTGGGCTTACAGAGATGCTGAACTTCACATCCAGGGATGCTGAACTTCACATCCAGGGATGCTGAACTTCATATCCAGGGATGCCGAACCTCACACCCGGGGATGCCAGACCGCTCAGCCTGTCGGGGATGCCGGACCTGCTGCCCAGGGTGATTTCACCCCTGCCCATCGCGCACTGCCAGCATCCCCTCCCCGGTGGGAGCAGCTCGCAAGGCAACCACAGCACGGGACGGATGTCACCGTGCCCGCACACCCCGCGTGTCCCCGCGTCCCCGCCCGGTACCTGTGGCCCAGAGGTTGCCGCGGGGGTTGACCTTGATCTTGGCGGCCTGGCTGCGGTGCTCGGCGAAGTCGAGGTGCACGGCGGGTCCGAGCGCGGCTCCGCACAGCAGCAGCAGCAGGCAGCGCAGCGCCATCGCCCCGGGACGCGGACCCGCCGCCCGCACGGTTATAGCGGCGGGAGGGACCGCGACACGGGGAGGGACCGCTCGGTTATAGCGGCGGGAGGGACCGCGACACGGGGAGGGACCGGCACACAGCCCGGCCCCCGACCCCGCCTGGTTATACCGGGACCGCGGCACAGCCCAGCCCGCCCGGTCTGACCCTCTCCGAGCTCCGCCCGTGCCCGCCGTGTGTTATCCCAGCGCCCCGGCGGAGCGGGAGATGTGACAGATCCACCACTGAGTCCGATCCCATCCCCACATCTCTCCATGCCCATCTTCCACCTTCTCCTTTCTCCTTCTCTTCTTTTTGCCCCGGAGCTCAGCCCTGAGCGTCATTCCCGGTTTAGCTCCAAGCCATCTCCCAATACATGCGTGTAGTGGAGATTTTTGATCCCGACGAGAGGGAGAGAGTGATAAGATCTGATAAGATTATATCTTATCAGAAGGCTAATTAATTACTTCATTATACTCTATTATTCTATATTATATTACATCTAAACTGAATCTGCCAAGCACTCAGCTCTGCACACACTCCACAGAATCTCTTCCTGCCTGCTCAGCCCTGAAGATGCAGTCAGGATTCAGAGGCAGAAGCTGACACTGACCAGACAGAATCCTGTGTTTGAATTTATGCATCATGTATGAGGTGTATGAATATGCAACAGGCTGTTGCGTTTAAGGGTTAATCCTCTGTTAACATTTGGGTCCTTTTTTTGAGCTTATGTTGCCCAGAAAAAGGTACCTGGACCATCTGTAACTCTTTGCTCTTATTGTCTCATATTGTCCTAAATCCAAATTGCCCAAATTATTATTACTCTAATTATATTGCTATTTTCATAACCATTTTATTATTATTAAACTTTTAAAATTTTAAAAACAAGCGATTGGCGTTTTTCACAGCACTGACAAAACACGGCCTGAAATGGATATACACTACCTTGTTTTCTTCAAAACAGTTTTAAATTCACTCGTGGTGGCCAAAGTGATGGAAATTTGGGGTGTCTGGAGAGGGTGGGGGATATAGGAAAGGGAGGAGGAGGAGGAGGGGAGGTCCAGAGAAGGTGCTGAGTGTGAAGGAAGATCCTGGTGCTGCTGAGTCTGGCTTTCCCTTGCCCTGGGGATGTTTTTTGGGAAGCTGAGCACAATCCTGCACTGTGGGGAACAGCAAGCTGAGGGGTTCCCTGCAGGATTAGGGAGGATGGAGGCAGGGATAAAGTGATCCCAATTACAGAGGGCAGATGGAGGAGCCCTGGGCAATTATGGCACCAACTGAAGCGTGACAGGGTAAATCCCATTCCTTCGGGCAGCCCCAGGGACAAGGGAGGAGCACTGGGAAGCTGCAGGGTTTCAAACAGCATGAAGGCTTGTGCACTGCTCTAATCAGCCAGATGCAGCCAGATGTTCCTTCTTTTTCAGCTGCTGTTGCCTCAGCCAGGCTGGGAGCAGAGGAACAGGCATTTTCCATCCCAGTGGCACTGCTAAGGAAGCTTGGGGAAGGCTGGGAAAAGGAAATCAGGGAATTCCTGCCCTTTTGCAGGGCCCTCAAAAACTGAGGGGGTGTCAGATGGATTGCTGAGTACCAAGGCTTGGCCCCATGGTGTGTGTGGGGGAGATGTGAGCCCATAACCCTGATTCAAGTCTGCAAAGAGCACCTGAGGAGCTACTCAGGGATGTGTTGGAGGCTGCAAGTGGGAGCACAGTTCAGGGCAGCCAGGGGGCTCTGCTGGAAAACAGCTGCTGAGAGGGTTCAGCACTCATGAGCAGCAGCACAGCAGTGCTGAGATCCAGGCAGGAGCAGCAATTCCTTCCTCCACAGCAGCCTTGGTCAAAACCAGCCCCAGACACCAACAGAGGAACCTGATTTCTTCTGGATTTTCCAGCCTTCACAAAGAAGTTGCTCCTAATTTTAGGGGAAATAACTGGCACCCAGGACCTGAGCTCCAGAACCTGGCCATCACCAGCCTGGTGGGGTTTGTGGTAGATTTTCTCCCTTCCACTTTGGTGGATCAGGGCAAGGAGCCTGCTGGGATTCAGCATTCCAGGCAGGAATTGTCACTGCAGTGCTTCTCTGCCCCTTGCTGTGTCCAGCTCAGCAGAGATTCACCTTCCCAGCCTCCAAGGGAATCCTCCCAGCTTATATACAAAAAATGCTGAAGAAATTCTCGTTTATAAATCAGTTTTGCTGACAGTCAGCACACTGACTTTACCAGGTGATGCAGGAGATGGGGCTGAGGTGACTCCTTGGAAAATTCCGGCTGCCCATGGTTATATCCTCGAGGATCTGCAGAGAGACCCTCAGAGGAGGGTCTGCACAGAGATCCCCTCCTCTCTCTGCAGGATTTACCCTCTGGGGCTGGGTGAGAGCAGCCCTGCACAGCCCCACAGCCTCCAGGAATGTCCCTTCCCACCCAAAACACCTCAGAGTTCCAGGAATCCTCAGCATCCCCTGCAGCCAGAGGGAGCAGGGGTTGTTTTGTTCTGTTTTGCCCAGCAATTGACACACACAGTTTGCTCTGGATGGCTGCTGACCACAGAATTGACATTTTCACAGCACAATCTGTAACAACCCCGATGTTTCAGATGGTAACACTTAACTTGGAACCCGTTGTTTCATAAATAGAGTTAAAATTGGTTTTTTCTCCCTGTGCACCATTTTATATTTATGCACATTTAAACTTCATCTCTTTTATTACCCAGTCTCTTCCCTCTTCCCTTTTGTTCCTTACTTTTTAGCAAACAATTTCCCCTGTAAGGATCTCACCTCCTGTTCCAGGGCTGCTTCCTTCCTTCAGGAGCCTTTGCTGGGGGACCTTGCCAAATACCTTTGGGAAATCCAGGTGGATGATCCCTGTCACAGACATCTTTTATGGAAAATCCTTTCCTTAGGAGTTTTCCTCCTGAGAAGCTGAAGAGGCCTCATGAACAAAATGTAAACATTGATTATCTGCTGCTGTGGAATGCAACAGGTGCATCTGGGATTGGTCTCATGTTGGATTTTTGTAATTAATGGCCAATCACAGTCAGCTGGCTTGGACAGAGAGTCTGAGCCACAAGCCTTTGTTATCATTCTTTCTTTTTCTATTCTTAGGTAGCCTTCTGATGAGATCCTTTCTTCTATTCTTTTAGTATAGTTTTAATATAATATATATCATAAAATAATAAATCAGCCTTCTGAAACATGGAGTCAGATCCTGTGTCTTCCCTCATCCTCAGAGCCCAGTGAACACTGTCACAGATCCCTGTGGGTTCACGTTGCCCATAAACCTCCAAATTCCTTCCACAAGCTCCAAGTCTACTCTTAGTGTGTTCTGCTCCTTACCCAACTCCTGTCCAAGCAGGGATAAGATGAGCAGTAACAGCCCTGTGAAACAGGCACTTGTAGCAAATCCTCTAAATGCACCTAAGGATAAAGCAGGATTTCACCAGGAAAAGAAAGGAAAACCACAACGAGGCAAAATAAATGGATGTAAAAACTGCACAGCCAGAAGGGCCTCACTAACAAATGTAACGCACCAACCTGAAAACACCCTGGCTTCAAGGGCTTTAAAGCAAGGCCCATTTTTGCTTTTTCTCTGCTTTGCATCCAGGTCTGGAGTGCTCAGCACAAGAAGGACATGGACCAGTTGGAGCAAGTCCAGAGGAGGGCACAGAGATGCTCTGAGGGCTGGAGCCAGGCTGGCAGAGCTGGGGGTGCTCACCTGGACCAGAGAAGGCTCCAGGGAGAGCTCAGAGAGCGCCAGGAGAGCTGGAGAGGGACTGGGGACAAGGGATGGAGGGACAGGACCAGGGGAAATAACTTCCCACAGCCAGAGGGCAGGGTTGGGTGGGATATTGAGAAGGAATTGTTCCCTGTGAGGGTGATGAGGCCCTGGCACAGGTGCCCCATCCCAGGAAATGTCCCAGGCCAGGATGGACATGGCTTGGAGCACCCTGGGATACTGGAAGGTGTCCCTGCCCATGCAGGAGGTGGGACTGGCTCGGATTTAAGGTCCCTCCCAGCCCAAATCACTCTGAAATTCCATGTTTTAGTACCTTTGGCACTGCTGCACCCTCAGAAATGTGGCCAGGCTGGCAAGGGAAAGACACTCCATGCTGGGGAGCTGAGGCTTCCCAGGCCCTGCAAATATCCACCTGGGCAGGCAAATATGTGCTCAAACTGATGGCTCTAATAAAAAACAAATACAAGGAGCAAAGGCCTTGAATTCCCCTATTTGTCTCCTTCACAGAGCTCCTGTGCCAATAAAACTCTTAGCAGCAGTAAGGTTGCTTCAGCCTCTTCTTCACCATTTCTCCAAAGCCAGGTCCTGCCACATGCCTGAGGGTCTATTTTGATGCATTTTTCTCTTGTTTACAAAGATTAAATCCCTCTGTTACTGGGATTCATCCACAGGCAATAGCTGTTGTTTATAAAAGATAAAATTTGAAATCTTGCACATCTTGTTTTCAACTCATTTTCAAGTTTCATTTAAGCTGTAAATGAGCTGTGGTTTTCCCTGAGGTCTCCCTTTCACTCCACACTGCTGGACATATACAAATAACTGTTCTGCAAGAAGACTTAGAGAAGAAAATCGTGTTTTCTTCCAGGCAAACCCAGGCCCAGCCAGAATTAAACAGCAGAAATCCGACATCCCACTTTGAGTGAATCAAGGCTCAGAGAAGTTCATTCCCTCCACATTATTTTTCCTTCAGGACTGATTTTATGGGGAAAGGGGAGGTTGGAAAACAAAAGTGATACCAAGATATTCAGCAGAGAGAGATGCAGGAAGGGTTTTTGAATTGTTAAACAGAAGGAGCACAAATAGTCCAAAGATGAGGAGCTGGGCAGAAGGAGCAAGAGACTGAGAGCTCCATCCTGGATCACAGAGGTTCTGAATCACAAAGGGTGAATTTCTAGTCCATCCCAGTTTAGGCTGCTCTCTGTGAAGATGTTCCTGAGGTTTAGGGAACCCTGCTGGATCAGCTACTCACAGGACCTGCTAGAAGTGAGCAAGTTTATGAATTTCCCCATCAGCTGGAGTAGGTTTGACACACAATGTGCTCAACCAGCAGGGCAGCACATGGAGACAGGACCTACTCCATGGG